TGAATTCAAAGTGATTTCGTGTGAATTCAAGGTGATTTCGTGTGAATTCAAAGTGATTTCAACAGATTTCAAGTGAATTCAAGAGAATTCAACTGATTTCAAAGATTTCACTGATTTCAATAAGATTTCCAAAGATTTCGATGGCTTTGTACACCTGAATTCCAGAGTTGTGGGCCCCTCGTCCCAGCCCGACTCGACTCCGTGGGCCCTGCCCAGTCCGCGGACCGCCACGCCGACCACGCCGCGGGGCAATGGTTCACGGCTGTCGTCTCCGCCTCCGCCACGCCACGCCACGCCACGTGAGATCTCAGCCGGCTTGTCCTCGTGTTGCCCTCCCCTTTGAAGCTTTTGACTAGCTGCAGCCGCTTTACGGGGGTGGGGGTGGGGTACAGGCGGTGTGTGAGAAACGCGACAGGACATGTTTTGGCGTCCCGGTCGCCCTGCGGCCGCTCGATCTTAAAACGCACTGGCGACTCACTACGGTTTTTAAGCAGCCACCGGCTTGTTTCACTTTTCCATGAAATTGAAGTAATTGACGCGGAGGGCGCGGTCCGGTCCGGGGCCGGTCTGAGCGCGGTGGTGGCGGTCAACGCTCTCGTCTGGAAGGAGGCGGGCTGCTGCAGGCCCTTGCTCAGCCCTGCCCTGCCCAGCCCTGCCCAGCCTCAGCCGTGTCCACTCTGATTGGCTGTCGTTGTCTTAACAGTAGTCAAGTCGTTGGCTGTGCTTGTTGCCCGTGATTGACAGTCCCCGAGCCGAGCTGCTGTGGCGTGGCGTGGCGCTTCAACGGCGTTAGTGGTGTGTGGGGCATTAGTTAAGCGTTAGGTATTAGGTAGGCATTAAGGGGACGGGGAGATAACCTGCTGCTGCTAGTCGTGAAAGTCGCCTCCCGCCCGACCCATCCGACTGTGTGTGTGTGTGTGTGTGTGTGTGTGTGTGAGAGAGAGAGAGAGAGAGAGAGAGAGAATGCTACCAACTCTGCAGGTGTAGGTGAAGAGTTCGTGGGTCACTACATTCTTTGAATGTGGAGAACGGCCGATTGCATACCAACTCACCGAACTGCTTTTTCATGAGAAAATGAATGACACTCGGAGAAGTTGGTGTGTTTTCTCTTTGCAAGCCGAAGATTCTATACTGTATGGTTCACGTTAAAGAAGTGTTTCAAGAATCTTGTGAGGAGAGCGGCGAGCGTGCGAGGCGGAGGCAACCGGTCGGGCGCGCCGGCCCGTCCGCGCCACCCTCCGCGAGCCTCTGGCGAGCCTCACTAACGAACGGACTCATTTTCCACTCTATTGCCCCGCCGGCCCTCGCGCCCGGACCGAGTGTCACGGTCGGTTGGCTGATTTAGTATTTAGGCGGCTCGGCCCACGACAGGCGGGCGGGCGTCGGACGAGGCTACCTTCTACTTCTATTCCTGGCCTCTTGACCGCGAGGGCGTCTACGGGGTGTCCGCGGAGGCGGCGGGCCACGGGCCACAACCATCCTTGCCACGCACCGAGACGCGGGCGCTGGGACTAAGGTGGCCACCACCAGGGCGGGGGTGGAAGGCGCCGGCGAGGAGGACGCGCGTCTGCTGGACCAGGGCTGAAGGAGTGAAACGCCGCCGGGCACGTGCACGTGAGTGAGGCGCGGGGAAAGCTAAAGCCTCGTGAGCGCTGCGCACCGTATCGCTCGCGGGGGCGGCGCGGCGCGCCTTGCGCGGCTACCGGCGCCCCGCCCGATCGGCTTTGCGTTTTCTCCAACTCGCTCCGTGTGTATTCCGGGAAGTGAAGTGGCGGCCAGCGCGCGGGCAGTGCACCAGCAGCGGCGGGCCGGGCCGGGGCGGGCCGGGGCGCTGGCAGCTTGGCGCCGCCAACACGCGGCTAGTACCCCCGCGGCCAATCCCCGCGCCCCGCCCCGCCCCGCGTCGCCGGGCCGATTTCGTCACGTGCCCCGCTGGCGCGCGGCTCTCGCGGCTGCCATGCATGAGGCCCAGGGGGCACGACAGGGTGGCGGGCGGGCGGGCGCGCTCGGGTCCAGGAGGATATGTAGTTAGCGATAAGTAGGGTCGAAAAGGAGGGTCGGCCGAAAAGGAGGGTCGGCGCAAACCGCCGTGTACGCCTGATGAGCTCGCTCCTGTCCACATTTCAGGTGTTCATAGTATATAGCGAACGTGAACGGATGCTTAAGTGTCGAAAAATTGGACAGGAGCGAGCTCAAACAAGCGCACGCGGCGGTTTGCGCCGAACCTCCTTTTCGCCGGACCCTCCTTTTCGACCCTACTTATCGCTAACTACATATCCTCCAGTACTGTCCACCACGCAGCAGTGTGCGCGGCCACGACGACTGCGTTTGAATCGCTGCGGCGGGCTCATTTTCTCGCCGCTCAGTACAAGTGTGTAGTACTCGGGTCGTACGGTTCGCGCGCAGCCAGATGCAATCCAGTGTGGTGGGCGGGGCCCCGGGGCCGGGTGATTGGAGAAAGGTGTCTAAGGGTTTGTTGCATGTCGTGCCTGCCGCGGTGCGGCGTGGTGCGGGCCACGCTGGCCACGCTACTTCCGTCCCCATTATTTCAGCATTCCACTCTGACTGCGCTCCGGGCCGCGGCTCCGGCCACACTCTCCCGGCGCTGATGAGGGGTGAGCCCGGCGAGCCGGACGGGGCAGCGGCGGCGCGGCGCGGAGGACAACACGGAGGGCTCGCCGTATAACCGTCACTGTGATTTGGCTTGTTTACGACCGGTGCGCCGCCTGGGCCTCTGGCCTCCTGGGCCGCCGCCGCCGCCAGTGGTTCCCACGGCGATCAGGGCCGGTGAGGATCTCTGCCCTCTCTGCCTTTGCCTCCCCCCGCACCCTCCCCCGGGCACCTGCCCCTCTCGGGGGTGGCTCCAGGTTGGCGACATGGACGCCGCTGCCGACGTGGGGGATGGCGGTGGTGTCGCGCGAGCACGGCCTTGACCCGCGACGGCGGCGCGGTGCGTGGGTAGTTTAGGGCCGCCGTCCATGGGAACGCCACGAGGCCGCCGCCGTCGGCTACCGCGCGGACTCTGATTATGTCATTATTTATGATATGGGACGGGAGCGCACGGCCTCCGAACCGCACTGGGAAATTCCTGGACGCATTCTCTCCTCTGTCGAGGAGGCGCGGCGCGGCCCTGCAGACCTCCTGCAGCGGCCCACGGGGCGGCGGCCTCATCGGGACGACGCACAGGAAGCTAATTAAAACGAGGAGAGGAGCTCAGGAGCGGTGCGAGGGGGGTCCTACGGCCAGGGGCAGGGGGATTACGAAAGATTAGAGGTTACACGTTCCCGCGCGTCGCGCCGTTTAGCGATCCCAACCCGCGAGTTGTGTGCACAGACAGGACGCCACGCGGGATGTTACTACACCAATTGATTCCCGCGCCTTTTCATTTTGACCTCATGCTTTGGGAGGTCGTTATGCCGTTGTTGCCTCATATTCGCGCGGGGTGGCGGAGACTCTTGCCAACACGGCCGGCTTCGGCGCGTTACATATTACTATGCTGTGTGATTGAAAGCAATCAAATGTTTTGTAACACCCTGACTCTCTAGCCATAGCCGTGCAATGTTGTCTTTGTGCTGTACAAGGCGAGGCTGGCGAGGCGCGCAGGGCCGGCCGCCCGTCCTGGCCTATTATGTTCTCCATTAAGTTGGACTTAAGGCGACGTGACAATACAAGCGGCCTGGCCAGGCCAGCGGGCGCCAGCCGCGCCAGCGCGCGGGGCAAAGGCCCAACAAAGGTGAGGCATTGGCAGCCGTATTGAGCCCCTTACCGGCCCGGCCGGGCCCGGCCCTCAATGCAACGCCCGCGATCAATTTTATGATTAAGTCGTTTTAAAAGGGACAAACTACATAACAAAAAATGGGGAGATTCAATCAGACAAACGGTGCAACACCCGCACTGCCCTTGCTTCCCGCCGGTGCTATTGGCATACGGGTGAGGGTGGGGGCGCGATTGCCGGAGAGGGGGGTTGCCCCCGGGGCTCCCCGTTGAGAGCAAAATAATAAGCGCAGGTCAGGTCACCTTGCCAGCTCGGGGCCCCGGGCCCGGAGCCGAACCCGAGCCGAGCGATTCGGATGATGGGGTGAGAACGCC